TCTCTGGGGCCTGGAGCTCAGCCCCTCCCCTTCCAGCCCTTGCTGCTGTCAGAGTAAAAAGCTCAGCCCTGCTAAGCAGAGCATGGGGAAATGGAGCCGGCTTGGTAATGGCTCTATGCAACATTGTCGATCACACCACAGCCCCTGTGGGACAGGCTTCTGCTAATGTGCCTGCCTGGAGGAAGAAGGGAGGAGCCAAGGCAGTAAAGAAGGGGTTGAAAGGATGGCCCTGATGCATCTCCTCGCCTGCTGAGCAACCAGAGCTCCCGGCTAAGCAGTCTCTTACCTGCCAGAAGTTAATGAGAGCAAACAGCCCCCATCCTGACTTGGAGGGAAGGGAATGAAGGGGGAACTTGGCTTGCTGCAGTGAGCATCAGTCCGCAGCCACAGATGATGATATCTGGGTCGTCACCCACAAATACCTACGTGTGCCTGACTTGTGGCAATCCAAGTCCCTACGTCACAGCCTGGCATAGGCTGACTGGGGCGGGTCCTGTGTTGGGAGTTGGTGGAGCTGGGCCAGGTTAAGGCTGAAAAGAATTTGGCCTCTCGGGTTGTGGTGAAAAGTGCTGTGCTGGCAGCTCTGGAGAGAAGTCCTGTGACCCACATACAGCACGAGCAGGGCTGCACATACCAGCGGACTTTGCCCTGGGGCAGTTCTCACCCTGTTTGGACTCCAGGCACCCCTCTGTGACGGTCTAGTGGCACCCAATGTCAAGAGCAGACTTGCGTATTCCAGCACTTACCTCCTTGCAGAGGGGTGGGGTAGTGGGGGTGGGAGGCAGGCCTGGCAGAGATCAGCCTGAGCCTATGCTCATCTCCTCAAGCCTCCTGGCACTCTAAAGGATCTGGTGGGACCCCAGCATGCTGCGGCTCCCTAGCTGAGAATTGCTGCCATGGGGAGATCCCTTCTGGGGCTGAGTGTGGGTAGGGCAGGTTATGGGGATCAGACCTCTCCTGAGTCTGGAGCAAGCCCTTGACTTCAGGGCCTCTTTCCAAAGCTGTAACATGGGGGTTGCTTGGAGGTTTTTCTGCAAAACTTTTTTGGGGAATCCTTGAAATAGGCACATCCCCCACAAAACATTTCTGTTTAGGATGTGTGGGTGTCTCTGTCCTCCCACAAAGTGGCTTGGAAGAGCTTGGTTTCCCCTTGCTGGGGAGCAGAACAGTTTTGCAATATTGGAGTTTTGTTGGACAGGAAAGTCATTTTGTGCCCTGCTTGTGACCAGCCCTCCTTTTGGGATGTATTCCTGACGCTGAGCTGGAGAACCTGACAGGACCTGGTAGCTAACTTGGTGCCGCTTGGGCTCCAGCTTGCAGCTGTGCGCAGTGATCTCAGGTTGGCAGATGGGAAGAACTTGGTACCCCTGGGTCATAAAACCTCTGAACGTGCCCAGCAGTGTGTAAGACTAGCTCTTCTAGTGCCACAGGCATAGCAGACCTGGTCTGTGCCCTATGTCTGGGAGTGCCACGGTGAAGCACTCCTGCTTGTTCCCACCCTGCATGCTCTGACCCCCACAAATGAGGCAATGCAGCCTCCTTCAAGTGACCCTATGTGCATTCCCCATGCTGCTTGTAGCCTCTTTGTCTTAGATGTGCTTAATGGCATGCACTCAGGGCCATTGTAAGGCAGCTGTGTTATGTTATTTAGTTTCCAGGATTTGATGTGTGCAGAGTGGGAGTGAATGAGTGAGGCGTGCTTTGTGGTGAGAGAAGAATTCTGTCTCCATAGCGCTGTCAGCAGCGGGCTCCCTCCGGACTGATCTGTCAGTGGACCATCACATAACCTTTTTTCAGACTCTCATCACTATCCTATTGCTGATGGCCAGGGAAATTTTTCATTTGAGGTAGATGGCAAGGCTGAGCAGTCTACAGTGAGCTCAGAGGTGTGCATGGCATACCTGGTGTCCAGGGCGAGTGAGTTTTGAAGCAGTGCATGGAAGTTAGGCTGTAAGAGGGGGCAGTTGCTTTCTGCTTGGTTAGTGGGGTATGTGAGCGGTGTCCAGGGGTTATAAAGGGGGTGTTAGCATCTTGTTCTTACATGCACTGAAGTTTCTCCCTCGTGCCTGATCCCTAGGTAAGCGATGGGAGTCTGACTGTCATCTCTGTCGGCCGGGAAGACCGAGGCGCTTACACCTGCCGGGCTTACAGCATCCAGGGGGAGGCTGTGCATACCACTCGCCTGCTTGTACAAGGTAACTCATTTAACAAGAGGCTCCTGGGGGGGATTCCTATTGTTGGTGTGCTTCAGCTGAGTGTAGCTTTGAAATGAGAGCATCTCCAGAAAGGTAGGCCAGGAACAGAGACATGCAGGAGAATCTGGACCGTTCAGCCCCATAAACGATCGTCTACAGAGCCTTAATGGGTATTGACCAGGGCAGACATTACGGGACCTCAGGCCAGGCTGTGTCTCACTAGCAGGCAGTTCCCATCCCTACGTTATCATTGCCATCCTAAGCTGTGCAGAGGGGAGAGAAATAATGGTGTTCAGTTGTCTGTTGCTGATGTAGGTACAGAGTCTCTACAGGCTTCATAAGTCTAAAGGGTGAAGATGAATATTGTCACGAGACAAAGTAAGACCTTGCTTTGGGCTTTGCATTAGGCTTCTAATGAAGACTCTTCCATGGGGTTATTGTACAGCAGCTTGAGAGTGGCAAGAGCAGTGGGTTGGGAGGCAGGACCACTGAGGCTTGTTCCAGGTTCTGTCATGGACTCACTGCCAAGTAAACCATCTATCAAGTAATCCCAGTTTTGCTCTCTGGAACAGGTGGTTCTCCTCAGTTTAAGGTTGGATAGCTTAGCGAGTGCACGTTTCCAAAGAGCTTTGTGAGCCTTAGGTAAAAAAGACACTGCAAAACTCCTGAGTCCTCCATGCTCCCCTTCCCCAAAGATGTGAAGGAAGCTCTGGGTAGCATTAGCATTGTTAATTTGGGTATTCCCTGATTTTTATATTTACTCCTCTGCTGTGGGAATATTGAAGGGTTTCAAGCAGCTTGGGTCCTGTTGTGCTGGTGCCACGCAAACACATGATAAATAGTATTTTTATTTGTAAAGCATCCCCCACACTCCCACAAACACACTTGTGGTGTTAAGCATCCATAAAAACAATTTCTCATTAATTAAGGGCACCCCTCCCTGAGCAAACTTGCCAACAGATGGATAAGCAAAAACAATAAATACATGGTCCCTGGCATCCCGCGTGCTTTACAGGCGGGTGTGGGCGGCATTTCCCACTCCGTGCCTGGGAGGGGAGTGTGTGGCTTGGGGAAGGCAGGATTGCTTTGGGGTAGAGGCTGAGTTTAGCCCATCATGTCTGGTCCACAGCAGGCTGATGTGTGGCCTCTTGCAAGAGAGCTGTGGCCTTCTCCCACCCTTCCATTAAAAACCCCATCCATAAATAAACAAGGAAATTAAGCCCAAACCCCAGATGATTAAATAACATTGAAGGATGCCAGCTTATCTGACCAGAACAAGGAATGCAACCTGAGGGTTGATGTTTCGGCTTATAGCGAAGCCAGGAGCCTAGTGTCAGAGCAACTGGGCTGTTGGCTGAAGCAGGGTTTGTCCTGGGATTCATGGTCTCCTGCTTGTCTGTGTTGCACACTTCCCCATGTTTTTCCTTCTCTTGGCTGGCATCATCTCCACTGAATCATGCAGGGAGAGGGTCTGAATCATCCCGCTGGGGCTCAGTGTCCCATTGCCTCTGGCCCGTGCCCTTTGTGGGAGGCAGTATGCTGTGGTGTGCAGGTTACAAGCTGGGAGCCAGAACCCTTATTCTATTTCTGGCTCTGCAACCAAATCCCTTTGTGATGCTAGGCAAGCCACACCTTCCCCGGGCATCCATTTTCCTATCTAAATAGGTTTAATGGCACTCACCCTTT